GGTTTGATGTGGTCTGTCTGTTTGGTATATAAACCCAGTATGTTTGAGAATAATGATTCATAATTCAGAGGCTGATATTGGTTTTCTGGACTTAACTGAATGAGCTAGGCAGATAGCAGGACTGATAAGTGCACAACAGTGCTCATAACGCTTTTGTGTATCATTGGGCGATCAATAAATTCACTGCTCTCTAATTAGGCGGTATTATCATTCACATATATCAACTGGACAAGAACACACTCAATCCATATAACAATGCTACAAATAACAAATATCAAATGTTTATCAGATATCAAGCCTTCTTTCAGCCTGTATTAATCTATCTAAACAATTATGAATATGAAAGTAACTGAAAAAAATAATATCTACGCTACAGGACTAGAGAATCATTGTACACTTAATACATAAATCAATTTATAACAAGTGGACACTGAGAAAGGCGCAACGTATCACGCAACTGAATAAATGACACTGAAAAATTCATAAGGCATACTATAGAGATAAACAATCAAATCATGTAAACTGACAGTAACATTCTAGGTAGTAGTAATAGTAATGTTAAACTACACAACACAAATGGATGCAAACCAAGAAATATTCGCACTATTATTGTTACTTCACTTCCCTGATGATAATAATGCTTAGAAAGATATAATAATAAACTTATTTATCAGACATCTATGTCAAGAAACTCAACGCTGTGGAAATCTTTATTCATTACAAACATGTCATTACTAGGTTTAATAGAACAATTGTGAAAAATCGTTTAAAGACCCCCATCATATTTTAATTGTGAAAAACACATGATGTAGAACATTCTATTTGAAATACAGTTAACATCACTACTCATTTTCCCCATGTATACAAATATAGTTATTCTATAGTTGTAAAATTAGTTATAAATCACAAATAAACTATTTTATATATTTATAGTACTGTAGTGAACAAGAACACGAGTGGGAAAAATCGAAGGTATTTCGGCACAAAATTACAGAATATTTCAGTAAAATATGAGAACCATATGGTAAATAGTTATTTTGCAAACTATCAATCAATGGTCTCAATCTTGACTGTTCCTTCTGCAAATATCAATCCATAGTCGCCGATTATTATTGTTCATGCATGTTCATACCAATTGCGTTCCGTCCCCGTTCTCTCCTTATTGATCTTTTACTGAAATACATTCAATACCCGACCATTGTTATATACTATTTATGTAGATTTAAGTAGTGCACACCACACTACAAATAATCTACATTAACTTTTCATAATGATTTACCTTAAAATATCGTTAACTAAATATTTTAGAGTATTCTTTGTTAATACAATCAAAATAAATTGATGATGTTAAATGTAAACAAAATGAAAACAATTCATTAGAATCAAATTATCTAACGGTTGATTTCGACTTCAAAACAATCATAGATCTAACGACGTTATTCTTAGTGATTAGATTTTGAATAACACATTTCTTAAACCAGGTTATTATCAAGAAAATTATTTACATAAAAAGTATTCGAATAAGAAATTGTTTGATTAACATTCTATCTACAACTAACTTATTCTAAATAATACAGAATGAATTGACAAATATCAACAAGATATGTGTGTTTTTATCTTAGTGGAATTTAAAGGAGCATCTATGTCATATCCTAGTGAAGATTAATGTGTGGGTAACATCTGAGATCTATTAATAGACTAATATTCTATTGTAGTGCCGCGATTCGTTAATCGTTTACTTCGATAACCGTTATAATTCTAATCTTAACGGTGCGTAAAATCAGAAGACAAAGGATAGCAGCAACTACAGTTTATTGTCGAATAACTCAGGTTTGAAAGTTAACAACACCTGAGCGAATATGAACGAGCGAGGCGAAAGATGATGCGTATTGGAGATGGCTGGGTAACCAACTCGATTTAAGCAAGCGTTAATCAACATTTATAGTCGGACAAAAATGAGTGACAGACATACGATGAATAAGATACGAAGTGTGCACACATATACGTTCATATAAAAAGTACTCAAAGCTAATAAGCAAATGATTAACGAGATCAAAATATGATTCAATGTACAGGTGAATTGGCTTGGCCGGCAACTAGAATAAAGTATGTAGGCTTAACATAACAACCGATACTACACTATAAATATTCTTATTGTATAACTATTCAGTAATTAGTTTGTGTGTATCTACATTTATCTTATTATAAGCTTTATTTTGACCTATAAATTATTATTATACGATTTACTGTTCTCAAATTATGTTCAGTTTATTAGTCACCGTCTCACACATTCACAGGTACATTTTAGCTTGATCTTGTACAAATACTACTTTCTATTTTATAGTGTGATGTGGTCTGTTTGGCTGGCATATTAACCAAGTATGCTTGAAATAAATTATTGGCATAAGAGAAGCTGTTATTGGTGTTCCGGACTCGACTGGAATGGTTAGATAGACAAGGGACCAATAAGGATGCTAGACTGCTCATACCTGTAGAACATCATTGGTTTGGCACAGTGCTAAGAATGGATAAGTATTTCGATTAGTCAATAAATCATATAATAAAAAGCCAAGCTCAAATTCACAACAGTCTATACAAAATTTAAAATGATCTTATTTTAATTTTTAATTCTACTTAAATATTACTGAAAAAGTATTATTAATAATAATATATTACAATAAACGGTAAACATAAAGAACATAATTACAAATATAGGTGACATAAGCTATGATATAAAATTCATGATCATTTAATTCACTAATTTCTAATCAACTTCTTCAAATCTTTTGCAACAGTCGAAAATTTTACGGAAATCAATATATCTGGTTGTATGAAAGCATGTTGCATATAATGTCAGCTTGAAACTACTTATCAACCGTATCTGTTTTTCTTCGACCTTAATGTTTAACTAAACAGTAAATTTACTAGATCATTTACATCATTTAAATCTTTTGGTTGATTGTTTTAGATGGTACTGAATAAAACATGATCGTATTTTTCATCACTATTAATCAGTTCTGTCACATTGTCGAGATAAATGGAATCAACAAGAGTTGTACTATAATACAATAGAATCTAACTGACTAAATAATTCACTAATAGCGTATCTAACAGTTAAAAGGGGTAGCATACACTTAATCCACTTAGACAATAAATGTTTAATTTAGAATATGGTCAAACATATTTCTCAACTTTTTTTCTAAAATACTGTACATATAAATTCACTTGGTATTGTTTGTTTGAATCTTCCAATTGATTTTTAGGACTGCAATTAATCAGTCTCTTATTGGCATGTGTGCATACTGTGCGTATTGCCTGAAGTCACAAGCATTATAAGCAAAGATGGATAGTGGCCATCAGTGGAATACAGGACGCGCGTTTCCTCCTATTTGGGACTCGTCAGCTGGATGTATCTACATCTCAGAGTTGATGTTCACTCTGGGACTCGGACCCAGTACCTTTTACTTCAAACGCCACCACATTACCCACTCAGCTATTGAGTCCTGATAGCCACTTGCTTGTGTAATGGGGTGAAGTGAATATCAACTCTGAGATTCAGGTACATCCATCTGACGAGTCCCAAACAGGACGAAACGCGCGCCCTGGATTCCACTGCTAGCCACTAAATATCTTTGCTTATACTGTACGTCTGAGTTCAGTTGTGGTGTGGTCTACTTACATCTATATAAGTAGTATATGGTGTGGGTCAGACATAGAATGTATTTTCGCAGAAGACCGATGAGTAAAGAACTGAAATGAAGCGCAATCGTCTGGAAAATGCATAAGCAATGAAATTAGAGAAGAAACAGAGAAGATTGAAACAATTGGTTAATAATTTGCAAATTGACTGTTCATTGTTTGGAAATCAGAATTTACTGAGATAGTCTGTAATGTTTGCTTAAATACATTCGATTGTCCCCAACCAGTGTTTTGTTCACTACATTTGGTGTCGCTGCCAACCAGGAGGAGGAAGGGTGCTGTTCTGCGGACGCCGCTGGGGGTTTGGAGTTGAGGTGCTAGTTGGGGCAGTCTGCTGCGGAGAGGTGGCGTCGAGTGGAGTGTTCTGGCAGGGCGGCGTTGGCTGTAGCGGATGCTGTCGACGGAGAGGAGCGGTGGGACGTGCGGCTGCTGGGCGGACATCGAATGTAGATGGCTCAGCAGACCGGTGGAGTACGGATGTTGAACATTCCAGGTGCCGGGTGGATGCGGATGTTGGTGCCCCGGCAGGTCGACGGAGCTATGGAGGTCAGCGCGCCGCAGACTCGACATTCTGACGGAGAGTTTGGCACAGACTGCAGTGAAAGAAGATAGTGGCATGGCAAGCAGAACCGCCGCACGAACGATTGCTTTAAAGGGGGGACGAGTGTGGTGTGGTCTACTTACATCTATATAAGTAGTATATGGTGTGGGTCAGACATAGAATGTATTTTCGCAGAAGACCGATGAGTAAAGAACTGAAATGAAGCGCAATCGTCTGGAAAATGCATAAGCAATGAAATTAGAGAAGAAACAGAGAAGATTGAAACAATTGGTTGTTAATTTGCAAATTGACTGTTCATTGTTTGGAAATCAGAATTTACTGAGATAGTCTGTAATGTTTGCTTAAATACATTCGATTGTCCCCAACCAGTGTTTTGTTCAGACTTGTTGTTGTTGTTGTTGTTTTTCTATGCAAAATAGTCATGAAGATATTAGGGTTTAAGTGTTTTTTTTCTATTTATTTTGCAAATTAACTGTTTACTGTATGGTTATTAGATTTTAGTGAGATAGTTTGTAATTTGCATATTTGATTTTCCCCATCCGTTTTCTTGTTCACAGCACCTCTAGTGCAAATAATAACGAGAATTTTCATAGTTTTGACAACTCATTTTTGACAATCCAATGTTATCGGTTGTAAATGTTGAACAGTGATTAACATAACTACAATCAGACTAATTAGATATTATATATTCATAATCTTTGTTTAATTGAATAACCCTAGCATTATAATCACCTAAAGTATGTATGATACATTATCAATTTTAAATGTTGGCATATACAGAGTAAATGACAAGGTAAGATACAGTACGGAAAGTAAGATTTCGTAGAAATATTTATCAAGTTTTATTAGACATTTTATTTCATAAATACTGAATAGTCAGAAGATTCAGATGTGTAAATAGGATGAAAAAGTTTAAGCATTGCCGATAATAACATGAATTAACGTTTATAATTATAATCTGACTGTTCTGTTGAAACTGTAATTATATATATATATATATATATATATATATATATATATATTGTAGTGAACAAAACACGACTGGTTGGGGACAATCGAATGTATTTAAGCAAAATTACAGACTATCTCAGTAAATTCTGATTTCCAAACAATGAACAGTCAATTTGCAAATTAACAACCGATTGTTTCAATCTTCACTGTTTCTTCTCTAATTCTACTGCTCATGCATTTTCCAAACGATTGCGCTTCATTTCAGTTCTTTTGTCATCGGTCTTCTGCGAAAATACATTCTATGTCTGACCCACACCATATACTGCTTATATAGATGTAAGTAGACCACATCACAATATACAGTAATATTAAAGGTTTCAACTTAGACTGATTGATTATACGTCTGTAAACTCATTTTTATTTGAAATTGATACACAAAGTTTAGGAGCAATATGAAATTATGCAAACAATTGACTGATTTCTTAGTGAACAAATAGCCAACTTTTTATTATTCTCTCAATATAATTTTTAGATAAACGGAATCAATCAAATTATCTTCTTTAAGTAAACTTAATAATAAACTACTATTATTCAGAAAATTCAACTATTGATGTAATACCTATTAGCGGTTGAAATCAGTATCCAGTACTATCATTTACTTATAATTGAAGACAATGTTCTATTCTCCGTACTTTCTGCTGATATAAATCAATGTACAAATGGATTTCTAAATTCAAACTACAGACCTATTTTGTCATCTGATAAAAACGCAAAGCGAATGAGAGAAAAGCAACTCAATACTGAAGTCAATTTTTCAAATACAAACTTATCACATACAATATTAATTTAAGTTGGATGATTTATTACCTAATTGATTTTCTGAATTAATTTCATCGCCATATGAAACTTTATGAAAAACCATAAATAATTCAGTATGTGAATCAAAATATTGTTTATGAAAGTAGTTACACAGTTTAAATATTTCATTTATCAGAAAGGGTTTTTTGTGGAGATTTTAGTAATTTCATAGTTAAAATCATGAGTCAATTGAAGCTAGATCACCATGAAAAACCTGGAAGCATTGGATGCCATTTCGGCATATTGTGGGACTCCTCAGCAGCGCTCATCCGCGATCCCGCCTCGCAGGATTCGAACCCAGGACATAACAGTCGCGTGCGAGCGCTTAACCTCTAGACCACTAAGCCGTCATCCAACGGTTTTAATGTTTAACTTCGAGCAGTCCACGAAATTGAGCAATAGTCCAACATTGTCTTCAGTGAGTGACTATCTCACAATAGACCTAGTTGAACTTCACTGGTCACTGCTTCTCACTAGAACTTTAGGAAATTTCTCCTGAAACCAGTCACTAGTGAGCATAAGAAGGGGTTTTTTGTGGAGATTTCAGTAATTTTATGGTTGAAATCATGAATCAATTAAAGCTAGACAACTTTTGAAAACCTGAAAGCACTAGAGGGCCGTTTCGTCCTATTGTGGGACTCTTCAGCAGTGCGCATCCATAATCTCGACTCGCGAGGTTCGAGCCCAGGATCTATCATTCAGTCAAAAATGTCTTTGTTGCATATAGTTACAACTTTATTAAATCTAAACCATTTTTATTTGAATCAATTTACTTGGCTATTAGAAATATAATAAAGTTGAAAATTAGTGAACAAAAAGATTTCATTCAGTCTAACCCATTATTCATTCATATTACTGTAATACCCTATTATAATCATGAAATTTTTAAACTAATTTTAAGATTTCTCTAAATACTCACATGTCTATAAATCTTTCTATCATATTAACTCAACATTTTAATCCATTCATTTTTGCAATAAAATTATCTATAATCTCTTATGGAAATTAACATTCTAGTGTCGGTTACTACGTAAAACCCATATAACTTATTACTTGAACAGGTCCATTTGTTCATTCTTTCTGAGTCACATTTTGACCTTGTGAATTAGTTACTTATCAACCCTGACTGTTTTTATATGAGCCTTGTTTGTGTGTGTACATTTTATCCTATTCATAACATGTTTGTAGCTTGTTTTTGTGTGACTATAAATATTGATTAACTCTTGATTAAATTGAGTTGGATCATACTCCATTTCCACAGCACGTAATTTTGCTTCGCTCTCTTCTCTTCACTCACTAATGGTTTACAGATGCTAATTATGGACTGTGATAAGTCCATTTCTTGATATTTTCGTGGATGTATAAATCTCTTGGGAATCTATTACAACCCTATTTGAAACATTTCTATTTAGAATTAACTTGTCATTCGCTTGAATTCTCAAAGCTAGATATAATAACAATATGTACATATGTGGCAGTAAAACCGTTTTTTTACTCTTCAATTCAGAACAAAACACATAATATTATATTTAGGAATTTGGATTTTTCAATGAATAAAAAAACGGTTGATTTTACCGACTTTTCACTACATTATGGTAATAGCTTCATCTAAGTAAAACCATTAGGGTTAAATAGTGAAACATCATTTAAGTCAATTTTATCTTTTCATTTCACTGGTTGGGAATTATGAATTTATGAATATCCTCTACAAAATTTCTAAATGTTTTAAAATCATTTAAAACTGAAAGCGGTTTAGGCACATATAAGTTAATACAAAGAAACCTTTTATTTTACAAATGATTTTGAATCTAACCAACTCTCTTGCACTAACAACATTTTACTCGAAAGTCAACACTGAAACTCCACCTGTAGCTCTTTTGGGGTTACTTCCGGTCCCAAACATGAGTAAATGAGAAGGGTTGGGCATGTGTTCATCAACCCAATCCCGCTGAAAAATAATTGCTAAAAGAACGCTAACTAGATTAAACCAATTCAACCATTTAAACTCTGTCCTACACGTTCAAGGAAGAATTATGACAACCAATGATTAAGACAGAGATTATTCGGAAGTTACGAGGCTGGTGCCACTTCTAACAACCAAAGCAACACTTTTTGTAAGTAAATCGAACGTCCGTACAATGTGGGGGACCAAGAAAGCCAGTCCAATAGCAACGGAAATGAGGAGATACAATTTGGCAGTACTCAGAATCAGCGAAACCCATTACACCCAAACTGAACAGCGGAGGCTAGATACGGGAGAGATGGTGATGTGCTCCGGTGACAAACAGGAAACTGCCCCACACACTCAGGGAGTTGCTCTAATGCTGTCCAAAGAAGCACAAAATTCACTTGTAGGATGGGAATCTCATGGACCCAGGATAATCAAAGCATCATTCAGAACAAAGAAGCAAGGGATCAAAATGAACATTATCCAATGTTATGCACCCACCAATGATAGCAACGACGATGATAAAGATCAGTTCTACTCGAGGCTGCACTCAATTATAGCGAAGTGCTCACGAAAGGACCTCACCATCCTGATGGGAGATCTAAATGCTAAAGTTGGAGTGGACAACACAGGATATGAAGATATAATTGAATGACATGGACTAGGAGAAAGAAATGAAATTGGGGAGAGATTCGCAAGTCTATGTGCATTCAACAAATTGGTTATAGGCGGCACAATATTCCCACACAAACGCATACACAAAGCTATATGGATCTCACCGGACCACACCACAGAGAACCAAATAGATCACATATGTATCAACAAAAAATTCCGAAGGACAATGGAAGATGTAAGAACCCGGAGAGGAGCTGACATAGCTTCAGATCACCATCACCTGATGGTTGCTAAGATGAGACTGAAGCTAATGAAACACTGAACATCTAGAGAAACAGCATTACAAAGGTTTAATACAGATTCTCTTCAAGATACTAAAAAACTCAACGAATTCAAGATAACAGCTTCCAAGCTCTACAGGATCTACTGAAAGAACAAGAAATACGATGGAGGACAACTGGAAAGGGATCAAAGAAGCATTAACTTCAACGTGTCAGGAGGTTCTCGGTCGCAAGAAGCATCATCATAAGGAATGGATGTCTATGAGAATCCTTGAAAAGATTGAAGATAGGAAGAACAAGGAGATAGCAATTAGCAACAGTCGAACACAAGCAGAGAAAGTCAAGACGCAAGCAGAGTACGCAGAAGCATGCAAGCAAGTGAAGAAGAGCAATAAAGCCGATAAGCAGAAATAAATGTGAGACCTAGAAACGATGCAGAGCGAGCTGCAAGAGAAGGGAATATGATACAACGAAGAAACTAGCAGGGAGATATAGTAAACCAGAGAGACCAGTCAAGGACAAAGAACGGAAAACAATCACAGAGATTCAAGAACGGAGGAAAAGATGGACGGATTACTTCGAAGAACTGCTGAGTAGACCAGTTCCATTGAATCCATGGGATACCAAAGCACCAAACACAGACCTTCCAATAGATGTCACTCCACCAACGGTCGAAGAAGTCAAGATGGCCATCAGACAAATCAAAAGTGGGAAGGCGGCAGGACCTGACAATATACCAGCTGAAGCACCAAAGTTACACATAGAAGTAACTCCAAACATGCTCCAGGCACTATTAAAGGAGATTTAGGAGGAGGAACAAGTGCCACAAACAGATTGGAGAAAAGACACCTCATCAAGAGGTATGAGCAAATGTGAAATCTAGAGAGGAATCACACTACTATCGGCACCAGTGAAGATTTTCAACAGTGTTGCCGAGACTGATGGAAGATTCAGTAGACTCACGAATTCGAGATCAACAGATCGAATCCCGTAAGGATCGGTCGTGCACAGACCAGATCCTGACACTACGGATAATTGTTGAATAATCGATTGGATGGAATTCGTCACTATACACCAACTTCATTGAATATGAGAATTCACTTGACAGTGTGGATGGGAAAATATTGCGGAAACTTCTTTGACACTATGGAGTACCTGAGAAAATCGTCAACATCATATGGAATTCATACGATGGATTACATTGAATAGTGGTGCATGGAGGGCAGCTAACACACATTTTAAATGAGGATCGAATTCATACAAAGCTGCATACTCTCTCCTATCCTCTTTCTTCTGGTGGCTGAGTGGATTATGAAAACCTCCACATCTGTCAGGAAGCACGGAATAAAATATACAGGTTGGATGCAACTAGACGATTTGGACGTGGTAGATGACCTGACCCTTCCATCCCATACTTACCAACAAATGCAGGTCAAGACAAACAGTGTAACGAAAACCTCTGAATCAGTAAGCCTCAACATACACAAGGAAAAAAGTAAGATTTTGAAATACAACACGGAGAACACCATTTCAATCACAATTGATGGAGAATCTCTGATATATATGGACAGTTTCACGCATCTCGGTAGCAACATCGATGAACGTGGAGAACCTAATACAGACCTGAAGGTAAGCATTGAAAAGCAAGGACAACATACCTACGATTGAAGAACATATGCAACTCAAAACAACTGTCAGTCGACAATACAGTTAGAATCTTTAATACGAACGTCAAGACAGTTCTACTGTGTGGGGCTGAAACTTGGAGAACTACTACAACCATCATCAAAAGAGGCCAAGTATTTCTAAACAATCCTAATCCTGAAGGGAAATGAAGAAGAGGAAAGCCAAAGAACGCAGTGAGTCGGGAATCGGAAATAGACATGAAAAGGATGAATAGATAGTGGAAAGAACTGGAAAGGATTGTCCAAGAGAGAGTTGGATGGAGAATGCTGTTGGGCAGCCTCTTCTACTTCATGAGGGCTACAGGCGTAAGTAAGCAAACCAGCACTGAGTAATTTAACTTGACACAGCTAAGATGGACAATTTACAATTCGGGTCGACATTTCACTGATGATGTATGCCTTTGAAATTGTTACCAAAGCCCTTTTTAATAATGTGGATGGAATTCATAATTGTTAAGTGAATGTTAAAATTCTTTAAGAGGACGATCAATCCCTTCAAGTTTACATAATTATGAATGCAATTATTGAACTGGACCATGATCTCTCCAATAAAGCTTTCTCTTTTGGAATATTCATGATTATCTAATAATTTACATGACTAGAGGTATAGTTCAGTAAATAAGTATCTTGAAAGAAAACATACATCTCACTTATGTACTTATAATTAGTTAGTATTTGTGTGTCGCTAATTATCTAACGTAGTAGTAAAAGTTTTGATATATCTCGTCTTTGTACTACAGATTCCACAATAATGGTTAATTGTGATCATTTAGTCGATCACACTAAGATATTTGTTATGTATTAGACTACTCTTTTTGTATAATATTCCAGTTTTAAAGACTCTTTTTAAGAAATCAGGCATTCATACTCAAAAGCAGGGTTTAAAGTAACTTACTGTGGTGTTTGGTCAAAGAAGACCAACTTACCTTTAGTATAGTGTACGTTTCAGTTATCATATTTTTTTATTATTAAGTTGGGTGATAGAATGGCATAGCTAGAGGACTTTCAATCTAGACTTCTAACTAGTTATTATTAGATAAAAAGTTGTATTATTAATACCCAGGGGATAGACACTTTTTAGACTGATGTTGTTCCGTTTCATAGTCCGATTAATGATATAGTTATCTGAGACGCGAATAACGTAATAATAAGTTGAACTTTCTTAAGATGTAGGATTCTTGAAAAGTTGAAGTATATTTTATTTTGACCTATTCACACATATAATTACTATTACATCTATAATTATGATGATGTAAGTTCTTTTTTCAATTATATGTATTTTGCGTCATCATTTTCATAGATCCACAATGTTTACTGTTTTAATGTTTGATATATGAAAATATTATAAGTATAGGGTTATGGAGATTGTTGAGATTTTATCGAGATGATGAAACAATTAATGGTAGACCATCATTGAAAACTTGGAGGCACTGGACAGCCATTTCATCCTTACATGGTATTCATCATCAGTGCTCATTCACGATCCCACATAGAGGAATCGAAATCAGGACCTTCAGTCTCCCACACGAACTCTCAACCTCTAGAACACTGAGCCGTTATCCAACAGTGTTAATGTCTCACTTCAATCGATCTATGATATTGCCTAACCCTTCATCCATTGTTCTCGGTGGTAACTGCCTCACAACCAACACAGCTTAACTCCACTGGTCATAGTTTTGCCCTAGAATCCCGAGGACTAATGCTGATGAGTCTCATACTGAGACAGAACGTGAGTCCTGTCCTTCCAGGTCTTCAATGGTGGTCTAACACTGATTGGTTCATGATCTCAATATGTAAATATGACGGCATGTTAGTGTATATCTTCAAAAAATGTTATTAAGAGCAAATATTTTTCTCTTTTATGTTATTTATTTTATTATAATTAATGGATAATTCCGTTTACCTTACAACAGAATGTCTGTTGATTATTCCATTATATTTTACATTATCAGCTATGTCTTACTAAACACATAGAACGTTCAGTATGATGAATATGGTTTTATTCTAGATCACTATTAAGTCATTTGAACGTGTTAGATGAATTCCTAATTGCTTTTCTTTCATATATAACGAAGGTACTATTCAGAAGTTTCGTTCAATTGAGATTTGTTCAGATTTAAAGATAATTTTCATCACTAGCTGACACCAGTTCCAAAACAACTAAATAACTGAGATTAGGTATCGTTTTCAGGATCAATATCAAGAAATATTTTCAACTTAGGTCAATTAGTGAAACATAGGAATATGCAATCAAAGCTTTCAGTGAGTAAATGTCTTCTTTCGACTTAATGAATCATGCTTTCTGTGACACTCAGGGGTACTTTGTTCAAACTTATGAAAACTTATCTGTGTTTAATGATGACCAGTCCCACGGCTGGGACAAAATAACTATCTTAATTTTAATAGAATTCCAAATTATGTAAAATAAAGATGAATTAACTATAGATATTTTAAACTGTTACAATATATATATAAATCAACAATAGTTCCATCCAAAGATATTCACTAAAAAAAAATGTTCTTTAAACTCAAAAATGGACGTATAAACATAAATCCATTTACTTCCGCATGTCAGAATAATAGAGGAAAAAAATAATTCCATCTAGTTATAAATAAAAATACACTAAATCGGACATGATACATTGGTGGAATCCCTCCGTCCCCCCCCCCGCCAAAAAAGCAAAACCTACAGCACTATGGTTAACTAATACTAACAAACGGTAAGTAAAAATATATTAGACAAACAGGAAAATTCAATTGGAAAATCTATTTTTGTTACATCGTTGACTGTAGATATAATTCATTAATTCATGGAATAATAATTAAATCAACATGCGTGGGTTTTGGTTCGTTTTTTACTTCGATCTTATAGTATTTATATTTAGGTTTATGTGAATATATATGTATGTTATTTTGTTTCTTACTATTAACTCCCGTATACATACCCAATATTGAATGAATTTAAACGAATAAACTCAAAATAACTGATGGAAAAATTGACGAATCTATGAGTGAGGGAGTGAGTAAGTACGGACACGCAATGGAAAGTATGATTGTATAAACAGTTATCTATTGCTTTAGAATTTGTTTAGTTTACTGTTTACTGATTGGTTGTTTGAGATAGTCAGTTCACCATATAAGAGGAAGTTGATTATGTAAGGCGATATATTTTGTTAATAATAAAATATATCGTAATCAATCCATTCATTGCATTAATTTAGAAGAAAAAAAAAGTAATTTTATTCATCCTCTTTCAATGATACAAAGAAACTAAAAATTCTTTAATTAGGTACATCCTATTTAGTATTCAATGCTTTGAGACATAATCAGAAATTGTTATCATTCCATGTGAGTAAGGTAAGTAACAATTATAGTTACAATTTTGAATAATGATAATTTGATCTGAAATTTTTATTAACTTATTAAAAGGATCTAATAACAGTGAAGATACCAAGGGTATTGTATTTTGATAACACTTTACCAGTAACACCCTCTATAATCGAATCGCTACAACAATCACAAATAAAAGATATAACCAACTGAAAAAAAATTTTCTCGACAGTGTTTTCTTCACTGAAATAATTCTTTTAATGAATAAGCTTTACTATTTTATTAACATTGGTTTACTCGTTAATATTTTCATCATTACTATCATAGTCAGGCTTTTAAACTGATCGAGAACGCTACATTGACCTTATGAAACAACTTAGAATGGATAGGAATTGTTGGTAATAAATAGTCAATATATGTTATACATTTCAGCATTTTTGTCACTAATGAACATATATTTCATGACACGACATGGAATAATTTATATGAAAATGACATTCGTCCTGATTGGAGGCTGGATTTAACATAGATCGCTGTCAAAGTTCTACCTCGGGAACTAAAAATATAATTAACTAGGTTAAGAATAAGATTACTTCGTACATAAGGGAAGATCAAAATCGAAACATGTCGCATTTTAAATGTAAATCTGAAATGAAACTGCTGAATTACATTTCAATAGTCTAAAAATACTGCTCTTGCTGATATACCCAGAAGGTATGAGCCAGGCTACGTTTTAGACAATCAGTTCAGACTAATAAAAAACCTTGAACTGAAAGCCGTTCAGTATCACATAGTTGTTAGTGGTTTTGCTAAACTGGCACGTTTATTATAATTGTATTACATCAATTTTGAAGAAATTCATTTGTGTTATTGTTTTCCCATTAAATTTTCATTTTTTCTAATGATTCCTCAGGTCTGATACTGTTACAGATACATGTTATCTAGCTTACTTTATTGTTTCAAGGCATTTTTCCTTGAATAACATCCAAAACAATTGTTTGTTTATGATTAAGTGACTAAATATATTTTTCAAATATTATTACATATCAGTAAAGTTTTGCAATTTCTTCTGTTTAAATCCCTTAATCATTGCAATTTGACTTCAAATCTTCATTTTCTAACAAAGTGTAACCAGTCAGTGGTAAGCATTTGCAAAATATTTTTTCATCTAACTATCACTCACCAATGCCAGAAATTATCTTTAATAAAATAATTTTGACCTTCACAGTATAAACATAGTTGACCAGGATATATTATAACATTAGGTTGTAGGTACTCATTTAGTTTTTAATTAAAATCAATAGACATTCAACAACTTAACATTGGTAAAGCATTTATAACAACAAGTAACTGTGACACTAACTCACTTACTTATACCTGTCATCCCTTGTTGAAGCATATGCCTCTGACCAGGATTCTCCATTGAACTCTGTCTTGGGCAATCCTTTTCACTTTTTTCCAATTGATATTCCTTGTTTTAATGTCTGCCTCTAATTATGAAACAAGTAGGAGTTAAATTCTACATTGTATACAAACAACTTTAATAAAACTTTTAATTTTGTTTATCATTAGTGCTTCCCTCATTATCAGCATTATTCATCATTTGAGCAAGACTGACTTCATAATAACTATCTAATTAATCACTTCATTCGCCATGTTAATAATAATTATTTGTAGTCGATTACTTCATCATTTCTTCTGCTTATTCTGTGATAAAATAAATTTAATATATTTTCTTAGGAAAGGCAACTCAGGCTATTATTTCTTACCAGTTAATTGAATCACTACATATCCGTTTCACATGTAATCATATTTACAGAACTTCTCGTTAATGTTAGTGTACATGTAAAATGTTTCAAATTGAAGTGAATTCGTTGTCCTTACTTTATAAAAAACTTATCAAAGGAATTAAATATATGAAGAATTTGAGATTATGACACTGACATAATTTAATAAACCAAAACATTTAAAAATTACTTACATAACAACAAAATATTCTATATCTTAACAATTTGAATTTTTAGCTCATTTGTATAGTATCACTACTTAGATCTTATTACTCACATAATTTATTGGTATCTTAATTTCCATAATGAATCTATCTTCTGAAAAATAATTAACAAACAATTTCACGAGGTGGGATTGTGAATGTGCATTGGTGAGGATTCCCTCAATAGGACAAAACGACCGTCCAGTGCTTCCAGGTTTTCCATGGTGGTCTAGATTTAATTGATTCATGATTTCAACTATTAAAACTACTATAATATCCAAAAACACCCCCTCGGATATTAATAAAAACATTAAAAAAACACAATTTAAAATGTCATTTCCATTAACAATGATTAACCGCTTCAAATCTAATATTATTGTGATCTAAACTTTTTATGTTCTAAAGTTACTTTTCCATTCACTTAATAAAACATAATCAATGCAGGTACATCCAGCTGACGAGTCCCAAATAGGACGAAACGCGCGTCCTGGATTCCACTGCTAGCCACTATCCATCTCTGCTTACCATAATCAAAATACTTGTAAATTATAATTATATCTAATTTAAACCCAATTTGTTTGTTTGTTCTTTTTTTGCCATTTTCTGTTTCTTAAAGTTGTGGAAATGACTTGAATAGAACTAAATTTTAGATAACTATCATGTCATTTTATTGATTTAATTCCAGTTCTCTATTGATTGAGCTCTATAGTATTTTACAGTCTAAAATAGTGAATTTGCTTTCAACTATTGTATTACATAGAAAAGGGATGAATATATTGATTCATTGTTTCGATATAGTAAATAAACACTACTTTATACGATCTATTGTTATATATATATATATATATATAATTTGGGATAGGTTTAATGCGACGTCATAAAATGTAGTGGAAAAAATGAAACTTTATGTACTACATCAAAACTGTTAAACTATATTCCACAACCATTGAAAGCAAAGATGGATAATGATTAGCAATGAAATTCAGGACGCGCATTTCCTCCTATTTGAGACTCGTCCGCTGGATGTACCTGCATCTCAGAATTGATGTTCACCCTGGGACTCGAACTAAGTAAATTTCGCTTCAAATACCATCACGTTATCAACTCAGCTACTGAGTCCTGATAGCCACTTGCTTGTGCAATGTGGTGAAGTTTAAATTCACATAGCCACTATCCATCTTTGCTTACAATGCTTGTGAATTAAGTCTATATCGAGGCGATACGCACAGTATGCACATATGCCAATAAGAGACTGACCAGTTGCAGTTCTACAAACCGATGGGAAGATTCAAACAAGCAATACTAAGTGAATTTATGTTCCACAACGTTAATTTTTTTATTAAATTTAAGAAAATAAATGTACAAACAAGATCTCGGTGCTAAAATATCTTTCATTAGTTAATTAAATTAGATAGTTCATAAGGGGGGAAAAATAAAATAAAAGTACAATGAAGTGAATTATGGTGTATTTAAGCAAACAAGAAATATTGTCAAGAAATATATTTCAAATAATGATTATATTTAGAAATTAAACATAATTATCTTTGTAACACCAGGACTAGTTTTATAAGGACTTATCAGATATTGAATTTTGTTTTGAGAATATTAACAAACACTTAAATGGAATGAAACATTCAGTAACTTTAAACAAATAAAGATAGAAATTGGTCTTGGTGAACTTTTGTTCTCTAAGTTGAATGGTTTGGTCGTGGAGCTTTCATCGTTATTCTGACCGACATTATAAGCACAAACCTCAAATAGTGATGAAATATTCGAACTTCACCACATATGGCTCATAGCTTGTCCTATAGACATCGATCGGTTATTGTTGACCTTTTGGACCAAGAATCAAATCAATGGGAAACTTAATCAAAATAAAAAATAAACAATGACAGATTAAAGGTCAATTGTAACCAATCAAGATCTAGATCTGCAGGACAATCTATGAGACATATGTAGAGAAATTCAAACACTACACTTCTACCTGAAGTTTTGCCTAAAACGTTGTTCAGAATAACGATGAAAGCCCCACGATCAAACCATCCAATTCAGAGAACAATAATAATAACAAAACTCCACCCAAATCACGCACATGAGCTACAAATCTTTATTTCATAGAAATCGGTCATTATAGTTCTATTAATATTTCATTTCAATTATATGCTATTATTTTATAGGAAATTTTGTATTCAAGAAAAGAATTACCATACCATACCATTCAAGCTTTAAGTAGAAGAAAATGTGAAATGTTTCACTTTTGCAAATATTTATACGAAAGTATGTTTTTACTAAAGTAATAAGATGGTTTAACTCATTCACCATTCTTGATAAACTATATTATTCAGCTTTCTGTGTTAACTTTTATGCTGTATAATATAATCAGTAAAAATAACGAATAAACTCAGATTGATCAAGTGATAATTGTATATAAAGCAGATTGTATATCTTAACTGTGGATGAAATTATTTATAGTTCGATATTTGTTTTAAAATGAAATAATCATCTATTAACAAATATCAGAAGGGGGTTTTGTGGAGATTTTAATGATTTTATGTAGTTGAGACCATGAGTCAATTGAAGTTAGACCACCATGGAAAGCCTAGAAGCACTATATTAATAAATAAATAACTGAGAATTCCAATTTATTAACCATTATGATATTAATTAGGAATAATATATTTGTAAACATCTGATGTTTGGTTATAATCCTTTGAAAAAGCTTTGACCAGATTGCCAGGCGAAATGTTGGATTTACTACAAATTCATTAGCTGAGATTTTACAAATATATTATTCCTCATTAATGTCTTGCATCAACTCGGCGCTTAAATACTGTGAAACTATTCGATCTAATTTAGACGAAAGTTCTTATATATTAACCATTATTCTATTCATTTCTTACTGTTTCATTATCAGAATATGAATAAATGAAGTATGCCACATACACGAGATCCATTAAATGAAACAATCAATACAATACAAATAGATGAAGATCAAATAACAGAAATTGTTTGGTTCAAAAGTTCAATAGTTAAAATTTTATTATTTATACTTGGAACAATTTTATTATGCTCAATTGTGCTAATACTTTTAGCTACAGCTTTAACACATACATCATGGTTTATTCGAAAAAGGCGTTCTATTCATAAACGATTAGATTTATCAAATAGATCAAAATTAGAAATAAAAGATTACATCTTATATTATTTCTGTTTTGCTGTTGAAGCACTTGCAATAAATTCTGTAAATGATAGTGAAACTTTATTAAAAAATACAAAATTCTTCGGTAACAGACAAAGTGAAAAATCTTATGAACCAACATCATTACCTTTACGATTTCAACCTGAAAAACTTTATGGAACGACAACTATATTGCAAAAAGATAAGAGTCGAAAAGGAAGTTGTATTAATTTACCATTTCACCCACCAGAAAATCAATTTCGAAAGAAGTCTATGCTTGATAGTTTTGTATTTTCCGATCAGAGGAGATGTTCTAAGCTGTTGGATTCAAGTAGTTTGTCAAAAAGTAACCTCTCTATCCACCACTCACATTTGGCAGGTAGTGAGAAAAACTCCTCTGAATTAATCAAGCCAGTAATAGATTCGAAGTCGGAACCACGGGATATTCCCCAAAATTTTCCAGGTTTGTCAAATCAGTCTTCTTTCGATAAAAATAGCAGTCGTAAAGCATCAGTATCAACTGATGATACAAAATGCTATGCTCCAAATGAAGGGGATATATGTCTTGCTGTCCCCATAATTACACGTAGAGCTTCAGCAACGGATTATGAGCTTCTCGATAATCGTTCAGATAAATCTAAAAGACCGATAGATGCTCCAATTTCCATAACTGTGACTGACACTCAAGCTGAGCTAGATGGTAACTTAACTTTAAAAAATGTTGATATGTATACACTGAGTGCTCCAGGGTTATTTGTAGAAGATCAAAGGTTTACTCGTCGAAACAGCTTTCTGTCTTATTCTACACCTGTCGTGGTCAAAGGCAAAGAGGATCGAGAACCTACTGACGATGATAAACATTTTCATCCTTCTGCTGAAATACGAAATAGAATAGAAAACTCTTCTTCGTTTTTCGGTGGACTGCAAACAGACGAGTCTATATTGTTAAATACGGATACTGATAAACAGAAGATCATTAACAAACGACTTCCCCCTGTTATCACTTATGACTGGATGAAATTCCCTGCCGGGATTATGGCTATTGGTGTGAAGTATTTTCCACATGTTAGTAGTAATCAAGATCAAATCTTAGTCACACTGTACACAGGTAAAAATCTGCTATCTCCTCGCTTATGGCATAAAACAATATTTTGTGTTTACTGTACTATATCTACTAAAGAAAATTCTCAAACATTCACTGTTCACAGTAAGGAAACCGAATTCGGTTGTCCACAGTTTTCAAATCATAATGAAATTTCAATGAATCTACCAGTACGAAGATGTTCAATACTTACTGGGGCACATGATATCGAGGCACCAAAAATACATATAAAATTGAAAATTTTCGAATCCATTCCCAAGTGGTCTGGTGACAAAGAGTATTATCACGGATCTTGCAGCATGTCAACAGAAGAACTTTCGAAAAATCAGAAGGGATTCGAACACATAGGATGGTGTCTAGTTGAAGAAGCTTATCCTGTAAGTTATTGAACTTTGACAAAACAGGTCTGATTTCTACATGTTGATTTTTAACAAACTAGTAAACAGTTCAACTTTATAATTTCTGGTATAGTTTGATTAGATTTAACTCTAAAACATTTACGAAAATTTTTAACTATCTGAGTTAACGGAATTTTAATTTAAAATAGAAACCTTACAATAATTTAGGAAAATTTTCAAGTAATGAATTTATCTCGACAATAAAAATTATAGTTATTTTATCAAGAAGAACTAACTACTAAGATATCAGACCGACTGATGTAATAATTACAAAACGTTGAATTATTATCAATGAATTAGACTTAAAGAACAAATAAATATATTGTACCACATCTTGAAGTTGGCACCAAAAGCTAGAAATGACAACAATCAAACAGTAACCAGTAAGCTCTCCATCCATCCGCTAAATAATTTAGTTTTAGGATTACGAGTTCATTGTCGATACGTGTCACCATTTGACCTTCCCTACACTAATCTAACTTACTTATTTTAAAGTATATAAATTTGGTTATCAATCCCAAACCATGAAAAGATCCTATCAATCTATGTCATCTTCAATAGTGTATTTATAATTATAATTATTATCCTTTGTTTGTTCATTAGAGATTTTTGTAAAAAAAATTATAAACAGTGTATTGTAAAACTGAACTACTAATATAAATGAAGTGATAATAACTTGATGATTTTATTAACGCTTCCTTTGACAACTTTAACTTTTTGATGAAAATTTATTAATGATTAGAGAAGTAATAAGAGAATTGACGGAATTTGTTTTACTGCAATTATACTTTTCGTCATTAGCTCGTTTGGTCGAGGAAATAAAATTATAGCTTTATTATAACTATTTATTTATTTATTTAAATACATAAATATTGGGACAAGGGGGCACCAGATATATATGAGCAGCACAAATCTCATTTGATTTGTGTGAGGGCTGTGATACTGCCCAGGTGTCCAAACTGAAGCAGATGGTTTTCTTAAGGGGCCACACTCGCGGCCTTTGACCTAAAGGTCTGATCCACAAAGCAATGGAGCACTGTGATGAGATGCAGTCCCATAGTAGCCGGTGACCAATAATTGATTCATACGTCATTTGTTCCATCAGGATACTGGAGCCCATGTGCACCATTGGTTTGGAATCAGGGTTTTCCAACTCCCCTAGGTGGACTTATCCATGTCCACCGACCAGGTTAAAGCGCCGGACATTCGCTTTTCGTCCTCTCAATTTCGTAAACAACATCCCCGCCACGAAAAGACAGTGAGTAGGACTTCCCTGGTAGAGGCTATATACGCGTGGCCATGTGAGAGCATTTCGGGAGGGAGAACGGACTCTCCCTACTCTCAACCATACCAATGCATTTGGGGGCAATTGTAATTTATTCCTTTTTAAGGATGACGTTCATTGATTCATAATTATCAGATATATTCAAAATATGAGAAAATTTTGAAGTCTGTATTCGTAAATATAAAGCAATTTTTACTATTCAATAAGATTTGTTCTATTTTCTAAAATTAACCTGATTATTCTAGCATGTTAACTAATTTGTCACAAAATAATAACTATAAAAATAATTTTATTTACAAATAGGGTTAGCTTCATCTCATTCTTTCGTTTTACTGAATAGTATTATTTTGACATTTAAGCAGACTATTTCTATCAATAAATAATATAATTGTAATATCCCATTGAGTAGAAAAATTAGATTTTCTGACGTTTCGTGACTCACTGTAAACCACTTCTTCAGAGAATAAATCAAAACTTGGTAATGATACCTACAAACTTATTTCTGTCAATGTTATGATTTCGAGATTTATGTTTGTTTATTCATTTCACTATACAAATTATTGGATATTGAAAATTTTCATTTTTTCCTATTTTTCAATTATTAAACGTTATGATATATCTATCATATAGCAGACATCATTTCAACGTCTGATGAGTCTTTTTTTATGTAGAATAAAATTGAAATGATATTCCAACTTTTTTAAAATTCTGTTGTTGTTATCTGCAATAATGATTTTCATAGTTGAATTTAAGACTAAAATTTCAAGATTTATAAAAATAATCTAAATTAAGGGTTACGTAACAGCCTAACTCACCTGAATAATCAATAAACAAAATAAGTGTACAATTTACCGTCGTAATTTTTTTTCTAGAATTCACGTTAAACAAAAAAATATGGGTAAATACCTAAAAACAATACTGGTATATAGTTTGTTTTCTATTGAAGAAACTGTGGCAATTTCAATCCTCACTGATCTTTGTTTATTTACCATGTATATACCTATCTCGATAAAATTTTGTTTGATAATTGACTGGTATTTTGAAAATAACCATTATGTACCCAATAGAAATTACTTAAAATTGTAAACAATGTAATAAATGAATTTTGTTTTCGTACAAAATTCATTTTCAAGCTAACTTGAAGATTCAATTTATTATGACTTTTAACCCAGTAGATACTGGTATACATACTTCAAATTACCACATACGTTTGACTAACATTTATCTATTGAGTTTAATTATTTTGTAAGGCGAATATTGTAGATAAATAAAAGGGATGAAATGATTTAATTAGATTGCAATTTCATAATTTCTTGTATAAATATGGAAATTAGTCATTTATTAATCGAAAACTTATCAAAAGAAATATCATGGATGAAAAATGATTTTTTTTTGTTAGAAAAATTATCGAGAATCCAATGACAAAACAATATTGACCATCCATAAAAGCATTGACGCATCTTGTGATTCAAACATCATATAGAGAAGGAAATATCATTCATATCAACATAGTTCAGAAACGATAGACACCTTTTTATCAACGTGATTCCATTTAATTTTGGAAAGTATAAATAATTCAGAAAGGTCTACTTAACATTAAAGGAAAATTAGCAGTTGAAGAATTTTATGTATTTCTAAAATATACAGCACTGAAAATGGAAAGAAGGATCTAAATATCCAATCAATCAGAAAAGTTCTGAGAGGATCTTAAATAAGTTATTCACAATCACATCACAGCGATATTACATGTCAATTTTTATGCTACAAATCTAACATTTAGTCAGACTCACTAACAGATAAGCGAATACATAACAGCTATTTCATGTACAGTTACCTTTGATATGACGATAGTATGATGAAATTCATTGATTTTCGCTAAATATGTTTTCATTGTTCGTTATTATACATAAATTTGTGTTGATTTTAAAAAGTTGCCTACTCTCTGAAGAAGTACATTGTCAGAAAC